TGGAGACTGTTTATCCATTACTGTCTACTAACTGGTCCTTATTTATCCCTTTTGGCAAACCATGTATCCATTCTTCACCGCTTCAACTGTTTATTCCCTGCATTTACCTATTTTGTCTGTAACTGTTAGCTGACTGCTTCCACTCTTAATTACTTACTTTTAGCTAACTGTTCATCCATTCCCATTAGCTAACTGTTTCAGCTGTTTATTCTTTAACTCTAGCTAACTTTATATTTATTACTGGTCGCTAACTGCTTCAACTGCTTATTCCTAACTTTTAGCTAACTGTTTACCCATCACTGTTAGCTGAAGCCTTCACAGTTTTTGGCTAACTGTTTGTCCATTATTGTTAGCTACCTGCGTCAGCTGTATATACCTTCTTTTTAGCTAACTGTTCATCCATCACTGTTAGCTAAAACCTTCAATGGTTTTTGGCTAACTGTTTATCTATTATTGTTAGCTAACTCCACCAACTGTGTATTCCTTAACCCTAACTAACTTTTTGTTCATTATTGTTTGCTAACTGTTAGAACTATGTATTCCTTCCTTCAGCTCTTTAGTCATTACTGAAAAAAAAAACCAAACTACTGTGAAGCTGACTCCCAAACCTCTAACATGGCGTTCACGTTTGAACACAGTATCATTACTGTTAGCGAACTGCTGGCCACTGTTTATCCACTACTTTTAGTTTTATTAGATTTTTTAAAATTAACTTACACTAGTTTTACTACCTCCTTATTACCTGCAGCTGCTTAGACTTGTTTGTCAATTCACTACAACTTTTCACGTGAATACTTTGGCATGGAGGCTGTTTTGCTCACTTTTGGCAGAAAAATGAACGCTTTCCAACTAAATGTCTTAAGAGTTAGTGTGAAAAATCTCAGGTTATTGCTCACTAGTGTAAACTAACCCTAACTCTAACCCCTTGGGAAAAGAGTAAACAATGTTATCTTGGACATAAACTAAACTATCTTTGACCCGAACAAAAATATAAACGCAGCATGTTAAATGTTAATTATTTCTACCCATTCACTGACACAGGGAAGTACTGCTGCTGTTCTCTTCATTTACAATGCACATGTTGGCTATTTGTATTGGAGTAATGACCTGGGGCAAAGATCATTGAAAGTTAAATGTTCTGTGGCATTCTGGGTATTGTAGTGCAGCTACTTGGCTCTTACTTGGATTTTAAACTAATTAATCACATCGCAGTGAGAGAATCGTTGTTATACAAATGCATGCGTTTCGAATAACAGCAGTGGTTTGTCATTATTTCAATAGAACATTATTTGTGTGCAAGGAAGCTCAGTAATGGTGGCCTGCAGACTACATCTCCCACAATGCACTTGGTGCACACGGTGCAGAGCTGTGCGGTGCGGACGTGTTTGACAGTTATTCAGAAATGGGGTACTGAAGCCGCTGCTGGCCAGAGAGGCAGCTCCACAAACTCACAGCTGCTTGGTTCGTTTTTCTTCACATAAATTCTCACGTTTTCACAAACAGACGAGCGTCTGAGTGAACACGTGAAGGACGCGGACGGCCTGAAATGCGTGTTTTTAGGCTGAGCAAAGAGCGGGAAAAGAGGTGAGCACCCACTCTGTGGCTCCGAGCAGCAGCTTGTAGTTGTCGTGGATTCACGCTGAGTTTAAACAGCCTCTGCTTTGTGACGTCACACAGCACAGTTTGTATTCATGCTTCTGACAAACATGAACGTTCAGCAGCTTCTGCTGACGTGTCTTATTATTGATTATTAATTATTAGTGCTGTGTGTTTTTGTTGCTTCCCGGTAAATCAGGGCCGAGGCAGTTCATGGTGAAGCCCCCCAGACGGCCTGAAGTCTGCGGAGCGAGCCTCTCAATCAGAGACGATCTTTGGTGCTAGCTCCAAGGCTACCGCTAACGAGCGCCCGGTGGACCGGGCAGCGCCGCGCCTCGCCTCGGTATGATGCCCGCGGACGGTACCATGACCTCCATCGTACAGAGAATAGCTCGGCAGGCTCTTGTCACCTTCAGGAGCCCGCCGCGTGTCGGCGAAGAGCCCGGCAAGTCTTTCCTGGAGAACCACAGCAAGCTCAAGAGTCTGATGACGGAAGTGCGAGCGGCGGACCTGAAGCTGGTCCCGCGGAGAGCCGGCGACAGCCCGCCCGGCGTGCCGCCTGCCCACCCGTACCACCACGGAGCCCCGCCGGTCACCTACATGCACATCTGCGAGACGGACCACTTCAGCATGGGGGTGTTTCTGCTGAAAAGCGGCGCGTCCATCCCGCTGCACGACCACCCGGGGATGTACGGCGTGCTCAAAGTCATGTACGGCAAGGTCCGGATCAGCTGCTTCGACCGGCTGGAGCGGGCGGCCGGCGGCACGCAGCCGGCGGCCCCGCTGCCCCCGGCGGCCCAGGTGGGCGCTCTGCGGCGCTCCGTGCTGCGCTCCACCGGGGAGTACACGGAGGAGAGCGGTCCTTGCGTCCTGTCCCCCGACCGGGACAACCTGCACCAGATCGACGCAGTGGACGGACCGACGGCGTTCATGGACATCCTGGCCCCGCCGTACGACCCGGACGACGGCAGAGACTGTCACTACTACAAGGTGCTGACCGGAGCCGAGGTCACGGACACGGAGCAGAAGGAGAAGGAGGTCTGGCTCATGAAGATCTCGCAGCCTCCGGATTTCTGGTGCGGAGGGGAGCCGTACCCGGGCCCGGAGGTCTGCCTCTGATCACCTGGCTGACCCGCAGCATGTCTCGTTTCTCGGCCTGGTCTGGTGCACACAGGGGCTCCTGGACTCGGTCGGAAGGCTGCAGGGTCTCTGAACCAGTACCACAGTTATCAGAGATGGATATGAAGTGGTGGACTCATGAGGACTGAGAAGTTCACAGCAGACCAGAGGAGCAGGAGACCAGCTGAGCTGCTGGTTGAACCACAGATGTGTAGAATAAAGGCCTTTACTGTTCACATCTATGCTGCTGGAAAAGGTGAAACACAACAAGTCACGGCTCCATTTCACCATGACAGCACCTGGAGCCTGGGCCGGTACCTCCTGCTGGTGCTGTGGTGGTAGTGGGTCAGGGAGGCGGGTCTCTGCAGCTCACTGTCCTGCTCTCAATGCACCAGTCAGTTCTCTTCATTTCAACCGAGAAGCAAACGTCTGTTTTAAAAAGGGAATAATCATCGAAAGCTATTTTCAACTTTGTGGTGGAGAACATTTCAGTCTCTGAGGCTCCAGAAGTCAGGACGACATTTGCAGAATCAGCCGTTGAAACCAGTCTGTGGTCGATGATTTCCATCTAGAATAGCAGCAGTTTTGCTTCTTACATTTCTGGATCGATTTGGTGTGAAAAACAGAAAAAGCCCAGAATGAGATGGTCAGACAGCAGCTCAGTGTTGATCTTGTTCTTGTTGTTTGTGCATGAGATGCCAGAAGATGATGTGCAGGTTGCTAATGCTGCATTCAAGACATGTCAGGAGTCTGTATTTGAAGTCTTCAAGGTTTAAAAACAAGTTTTAAAATAGAAATGTGCACACAGCAGCCTTCAGATACACTACAGTCCAGCTTTGCATGACCTTCAGTCTGCAGCCAGACACCTGCTCCTTCTATTTATTCTACATGTTCAATGCATGAAGGATGCGGCGCTCCATGTTTCCACTCATCATGTTCCAGACTTGTGGCTGCACCTTGAACGCAGCATTAAAGAGTGAATGGTGCTGGTGGGTGCAGCCCGGGACCACGGGCGGGTTCTGAGTGTCCATCGTCTTCCTGCTTCAGGCTTTCTGTTCCGCTCCCATAAAGAAACTGTGTGAACCTTCGGGTCTCTTTTGACGTCTGGAAACTGTAATTTTATGCTGAAAACATTTGCATCCTCAGGACTGTGTTGGTGAGATGTATTTTTTTGACAGATGTGCACTAAACCAGGCTCCTCTGAGCTTTTCCTTTATTTGGCCCAAACTGTCCAAGTGAGCACAGAGTAAGGATTATAGATGGTTCTTTTCTCAGAACATAGTTTCTAGAGTAACAAGTCTGAGCTCAGCAAACGGCTAAAAACTCATCTCTGCTACGGGAATGTTCATGTTTTGTTCACATATGAACTATTAAAAAAAGATGCTTCCTCTGAAACTGTAGTCGTGGTATGAAGTTGAAATCCACCAGCATGGGCCGCTTGATGAGAAACGTGCTGTTGCTGCACAGATGTGGACTTTGCAGGTCTTCAGTGAAGCTTCTCCAATCAGATCCAGTGGGTGTTCAGTGAACAGGAAGTGTATTCGTCTGTAATGAAGGTTTTCTGTCTCTTCAGATCAAATGTGCTGCTGTTGCTTCAGAAGATCCAGACGTTCAGTTCTTTCCTCTGTAACCTCCACATCGTTTGTACTTCCAGTAGAACTTCGTTTTCTTCAGCAGCTGGATGAGAGAAGCTTTTGCTGTGTCACCCTTTCGGTAAAATAAGGTTGTTTTTATGCCTAAAACCAAACCAAAGTTTAGCACCGTTGCATCATTAAAAGTCCGATTTTGCCTTTCGACAGGGATTTTTTAACATTACCTGCGGTGTCTCTCCAGCGCCTGGGGGGGATTGTGTTCATGTTAGTGACCCTGAAAGGCCCCAAAAGCCACAAGTTGATCCCTGGTTTTGGTCATTTCATCAGCGACAAGCAGCTGTGTCGTCACGTACACCACTGAAGTACAGCATAGACGAAGATAATTGGCTGATTTGTGTGTCAGAATCTCATTTTCAGGCCTTTATTATTGAGTGTATCACCACTTTGTCGTCATGTGGAGTAAATGAAGGTGGGTGTAATAGAATTACAACAAGCTGAGACATATTTAGAGATAATTCTGGGTTTTTTCAGTCTGCCATATTTTCCATTAAAGGCCCCACATGGTGAAAATCCAGTTTTATTTGTGAAGACTTTCACCTTTGCTATTCCACCAGACACCCTGTAACTAGATCATCTCCCTACAGTACAAGTCTGCTGCCTTGTCGTGCTGCCAGCTCGCTGCTTCCACGTGAACCAATCAGAGTCAGCGGCTGTATTTATCTTCTACAGCTGCTTCTGCTCAACTGCTCAACTCTAAAATGTCTCAGATACGAATGTTCTGCTGCAAGAGTGAACACAAGAGGCTTCACACACTGCCAGCATCTGTGGAGCTGAACACCCAGTAGATGACTCCTTTGTGCTAGCATGTTGTGCAGCTAATGTGGCTAACGTTGCCATTAGCTTTGGTGGTTTGTTCACAGGTCAGAGCTCTGAGGGACCAAGGTGGAAACTTTACGACCCACTTGAAACCAGTAAACAAGAACCAGGTGAGTTACTGTGCTTCATGTTTCACCTGAAGTCAGCTGCTGCTTACATGTGTCAGCTTCTCTCCTGCTCTCTGTGCTCACATTAGTTTCAATACAGACACATTCCTGTCAAAGCAGTTCTCGTTGACAGAACCAGCATGAAACAGGGAGGATGAAGCAAGACAAAGTTCTGGTTGCAAACACTCATTAATGTCTGTCTGGTTAAATGTTTTGCTGTCGATCATAGCTGCAGAGAGAGTCTTGATCCTGAAGGGGGCGTAGACAGCACATCTCAGCTGCATGTAAAGCTACAGATACAGAACAGAACTACAACCAGGACTTACACCGTTATGGTGAAATGAGGTGTTGTGGGCTGAAATATTTTTTAAAAAACCAACACATTCTAGATTATTAAGCTTTTCAAAGAAAAAAAAAAAAGACAACTTTTAACCTTAATTTGAAAGAAAACAGCATTTTGCTAGCGACATTAGGGATCTCCATGCAGCGAGCAACATAGGAAGTGAGTCAGAAAAGTTCCAGGACTGGTGTCACTAAAGATGGATTTCAAACCCAAACCAGGAGTTTCTCCTTCAGACCATCAACCAGCTCGTCTACAGAGGTCCTGCAGCGTTTGCTTCGTCCAGAAGAGGCAGAGTTGTGTCAGGACCAGTGGAGGCTGCGTCACCATGACAACCTGCTCACAGCGCCCTGAGCATCCCACAGCTCCTGCTGAGAAGAACATCTCCTCCCTA